TTTTACTTATTTTTCTTTTCTTGAAGGCGTCTCCTACTACCACCACTACCATAAAACATGGTCTGTTACCAAACTGATTTTGGCCTGCTTTAATTCTATGGTCAAAATTCTCCACTCACTATTTACAAGCTCTGTTTTATTCAAGTTGGTAATGCAACAAAAGATGTAATTTTTGCTCCAGTTTCAGCAGGAACGACAATAAACCTTGACAAAATTCATGCTCCTTCGTTGAAAACTTTGTAACCAGATAAGTGGCACCACTTTGGGTATCATATAAAAGCATTTCTGATAACGCCATAACGGCGTGAAAGAGTACTAGGGGGAAATGATAGATAACTCATGATGGCATTTTATCTAGCCACTCAACAAAATAATGCATCAAAATTTAAACATTTCTATCGCATCATGGTTCACGTAAAAATTTTGGATCCAACTATCAGCAGCATGCATGCTAGGGATGTTACAGTCTACTTGCTGTATAGATGGACAAAGGAGAAGATGAAGAATCCTGTCATCTGTATCAAAAGCCCACATCAAAAGTTAATACATCACCCTAGGGATTTCTACGAAAAATAAAGGCACATTAATCATGGCGATGACAATGACAATGCAATAGAAACAGTTAAATATCTCACAGCAGACTCTTTGCCAATTATTTCAAATAGTTATCCCTCCAAAACCTCAAATCCTGAGGATTTGTTATTATTGAGATGAACAATTGGCTTATAAGTTATACCGTTAACAAAGAAGAACAAAAGTGTCATACCATAGAAAATGCAGCTCCATAGTAGGGGTAAGCAGCTGGTATGAATCTTTCATATTCATTGTGTCTATAAGGCCTGACTGGAATCTGCAATGCAATTCAATGTGTTGACAATTCACACAGCAAATCAGAAACCAGCTTTGCAAAATAAAAAATTCCATGAGATGTAGAAGAACCACAAAAGAAATGTCTCCACAAAGGCAATTACGCATAACAATATTTAAATTGGTAAAAATAAGATTATTTTGCTAAAAGAGAGAGAACCAAGTTCTTAGCAAATTAATTACATGAAATTAACCAAATATAAATCAATGTCTATGCTAATCTTTTGTGAATTTTAACTTCTATTACAAGTTTCCATATTTCAAATAAAATCAGATAACTGGTAAGAGAATTAGGTCTCAAGCAAGAAATTTGTATCCAGAATCCTGAAAAACAAAATTTGATACCTGCTTTGAAAGGGATAAACTTGTATACCCAAGCTTTTGGTACTCAACCTTGAATTGAAAAACACCATAAACATCTGGAACCTTAAATGATGTGGAATAGAGACCCTGCAGGACAAGTATAGACCAGAACTTTTATATGGATGACTTCATATTAAGAGCAAGCTGATATTGCGAACCATATGAGCTCAAGAGGCAAATAATATACGTTTTTGTTATTTGATAGAGTTTTTAAAACATAGGGGCTCATCAGATAAAACTGCAGTTGGACATCATCAGCAATGTATGGCTCCCAGCTTGTTCCAGACCACTCATAGATCTCGACTGAGTATTCCTTCATGAAACAAGCCCATTTCATTTCGGTAAAATTTCTAAAAAATGCTACTCAGCATTACATCAAAAGAGACAAGGTAGAAGAATTACCAACTCATCATTAATCCTGTATAAAGCAGGTTCATTAGTTTCTCCAACTTTGTGGTGTTTTACATTTACAGCCTAAAGAACAAAACATTTGTTAATATATGCTGTATATAAACATACATAAAAAAATCAGATGCTTAAAAATCACGCTGCAATACAGGAATCGGCTATTTTTAATGACAAAGTTTATCAACATGCCTACCTTAAGATGACCTCTTTCGTGGAAAACCCATTTGCTAAGTTCAGTGAAAAACTGCTCGTTACCTGATTTCTCATGTCTGCCATCAGAAAGAACATTTCTCAAATATGTCTTGTTTTAAGCACATCAGTTAAAAAAGAATCCTAGCATGCAAGTAGGTGCAAGTGCAAAGACATAAACAAAGTTGATTGTAAAATTGGAAATGCAGCTGGTATCATCCTTGATAGGAAGATCCATACAAAAGATGAAGCTTTGATATGGGTTTCATGTGATGATTTCAGCGCAACCTAAGAACTTGCTTAACTGTTTCCTTTTATTTACCGAGAATGTATTGCTGCTGATTTGTTTATGATTTCTCAGTGTTTTATATTGAAAGGGTAGTTTATAGAGTTACAGATTCACTCACTTGGTTGGGCTCCCAGACTTGTGCACACCAGATCTAAATAATCTGACAACATTTAAACAGTTCATCAAGAAACATGACGTGCTATTAATTACAAAATCAAAAGGAAAATTCAATAAGGAAGCAATCACTTAAAAGTTAATATACTACATACCGATTGCTAAACATACTTAATGAGCCAGTTATCAGAATCCGTGCATTGTTCCTTGCCTATAAAAGAAATTAAAAAAAAAATCATCTTATTTGAACAGCTTGCTATATTTGAGTCAGAACAACCTACGTTTTTTCCATTCAGCTTGTGCAAAAATATCCTAAAACAAGATGGGAAGTATAACGCTTTCATGATCTAGACGTGCAGAAGATATATGAACTGATGAGTATTGACCTACCTGCACAATTGAAACCAGGGAGATAGCAGAACCAGTCAACAATGGTGGAGTTGACAGCTTGGACTTGGGATTAGCTGAATAGGCAGATGGAGAAGCTGAGAGAACTTTTAACACCTAAAAAAGAGTGTGATGTATGAAGATAAAAAAAGATTATGGTGGTCATTAATAAATTGATGTATATGTTCTTTAAATTCTTGCAAACCAGATTGAAGCAGCTTACCAAGCTATTGGCAGGATTCAATGAATGGCCAATGCCCTGGAAAAGTACAGGAGCCTGTGGTATGTTTAATGAAAACTAGTCAGAAATCAAAACAATTATACCCGTAATGCATAACAAGCAATGAGCTTCCAACAGTATATCAGTATTCATTTAAGCTCATAAAAATGTGTAACTACTTTATCGTAATTGAAGGACGTACGCAAATGGCTAAAGAACTCAATGCAGTTTAGAAACCTAGAAAATGTCATAAGCAAAGTGCCACAGTAGTACCATTTTACCATGGCAGAAACAACCTCAAGTGAGAGACTAATGATTGGCGCCACCATCAATACTTGCCCATAAAATTATCTAGAACCTAATAAGACGACTAAGACTGTCAATGCTAAATGCTGGCATTTGAACTTACGTCAATTTTCTTGCTTCCGAAGATCACATCAGACTTAATAAAATCATCACTGGCAATGAAAGTATGATCTCCTTCTGTTTCTGAAACTGCATAGCTAGTGTGATCAATAACCATAGACAAAGGATCCTACACAAACAAACAGGGAAGCCTTAGTGAACAATCAAGTGGAGAAATAACAAGGATTGAAGCTTCAAATTAGATAATATAAATGTGTCTGACCTCATCAAAATCAACTCCACATTCAGTGGCCACTTCCCGAATCAAATCAGAAGCATTAGCATCCGCAGCAATAATTAAATCATGACCCGAATCAACAAAATTGATAATGGCAGCAAGATCTATAGATCCTCTAAAACCTAATTAAACAAATACATTACCAATTTAAACGAGAACGCATTAACAAGAAAAAGAAAACGGCAATAATTCGTCTGAAAATATTAAAATAAAGAAAAAGAAAATGTGAAATAACTGACGTTCAGTGGAGGGGCAGAAAAGGATCAAGGCATCGTAGAGATACTGGCCGTAGCGTTGCAAAGCGATCTTGGGATCATCGGCGAGTTTGAAGTCTAGGTCGAAGCCGCGCGATTTGAGGGAATTGAAGTAGAGGGAGTGAGACGACTTGATGGCGAAATCGTCGAGGAGGACCAGGACTCGGCGATCGGTCGGAGATTCCGGAGAGAAAGAATTGCAGAGAAATGGAAGAAAGATCGAGATCAAAGCAACAAAAATCACCCACAATTTCCCCATTTTAGGGATTAGGGTTTTAGTGTGAAATAACTTCGGGAGATTCAGGAATCTACTACTACAATTCCACCCAGTCCGAGTTTTTTCCCTTTTTCTTTTATTCGATGATTCGGGGATTTAGGATTTTTCTTTTACTTTTTGGTAAAATTACAAACCTTACCTGAAATTTTATCGGAATTCCTTCCAACTCCACTATTTTCTAACTTTATCTGACAAATTAAAAATTTAAAGAAAATTATATTTTTTTTTGCCATATAAAAAAAATTAGATTAAAATCTAAATTTTAAAATACACGAAAGGAGAAATTAAATATTATAATTTATATATAAATATACCATTTGCTTCACATCAAATATATCTATAATAAAAAAATTATTATATTATAGTTATGTTAATATAAAAATATAAAATATATTTTTAATTTTATCAAAATTTTAAATTATATTATTTTTATATTATTTTGTATTATTTTTATGTCGCATCCTTCCTAATATCATAATATTAAAAAAAAAAAGGCAGAAAAAGAAAAAGTGGAAAACCGACGCCACATTGCCAAATTTACCACGGCTCTTGGTTTGTGATATCGTGTGGCCGAGCTATCTTTTTTTTATATGCACTTGCCTACACCACCACAAAAACCTTCATCATTTTACCATGAAAAAAAAAACCATTTCACTTATAATTTTTTATTAAAATCTTATAATTATTTAGTTATAATAAAAAAGTATATAAAAATACATCACTTATGAGTATAATTTTAGATCATATTTTAATAAATTTTAAATAATTAATTATAATGAATCTATATCATTTATAATTTTTTTATTATAATTATTTAATTATAATAAAAAATTATATAACAGTTTATCATTTAAAATTCTGAATTTTATATAATTTTTTAATAAAATATATTTGATATAAACAATTATAATTATTAAATGTGATAAACTTAAAAATACCTCTTTTCTTTGGTGGCAATCTCTTATTGGTAATACTGACCGATGCGTAGATTTAAAAAGGGCGCATAGCAGGGAATCGCAGAAGCCCGTTTCATCGTCAAAAGCGAAAGAAACCAATAGTTGATGACGATAATTGACCTCGTGAGAAAATACCCAAAACAGCACCAAAAAAAAATTATTTTACTTTGTTTTTTGCAATATATAGGCACTTTCTACGCTGTGAGATTCCCTCTCAGCTCTGATTTTATTTACTGCGAAAGCCCTTTGCTTGTTTTTCCACCGGTAAAAGGACCAACCTGATCCGCGTTTCAGTCTTTTGCATGTTTATGTATCTGTCTTTGATTCAAAGAGCTTTTTTCTGAATCGGAATTTGGATTTAGTTTTCTTTTCCTGTTGTTTTTGTTTTCCTGTGGTTATTTGTATGTTAATAAACGGCTAAAGGTCCACTCGTGGTATTGCTTTTGGTTGGATTTTGGTCTTGAATTTGCTTGAAAGAGGAATATTTTGAGTTTGTTCATTTTTTTTTTTGTGGATTTTGATGATGATCACTCTAAACCTTGGATTGTTTTGGGGTTCAGTTCATCATATCATCTTTCTTTTTTGTATTTGTTGAATCTCTATATGATTCTTGGGTGATAGTTACGAAAAGATCATTGGAATAAGGTTGGCCTCAAGTTATCAGTGAAATTCAACGTTTGTTGGTTTTTTAAAAGATTGAAGATTTGCAAATTGTTCATTACTTGCTTAGCTATTTTGGCTGTCTCTCTTCTGTTTGTGATCAAATTACCACTTGCTTTCTTCTTTCAAATTCACTTTCAAAGTTTTGCTTTTGGGTGTAGGGTTTGATTTCCAATTTCCCCATACATTCTTCAAAATGCTTGGTTTTTATCTATCTGATGTGTATCTTAGAGGTTGGAAATTTTGACCAACTTTTTCCATGGCAGTGCTTTCTTCTTTACTGATGTAATTTCTTGAAGATTTAATTGTTTGGTTGTGAAATAAAGGCTTGTGGTTTCTTGGTTTGATGTTAGTTTAGTCTTCTCTAGTGTTTTTTTTTTCCTTTGGGTATTTGATGAACATCTTACTCTGGGATGCTCTCTTTTGCAATAATTTCTGGATATGCTAGTTTATTACGAGAATCTCTATTCGAGTGTCTTTAACGTGTTTATATGTTGCACACAAGTCCCTCAATGTGTCTTTAATATGTGTATTCTGCACAAGAGTTCATTAGGTTTGTCTGTTATGTGCCTTCCATTCTCATTTCTTATGTTATCATAATTTAGGAACAATGATCAAGCTATTTAAGGTCAAGGAAAAGCAGAGGGAAATTGCAGAAAATGCCAATGGGAGGGCACCTGTAAAGAAGCAAAGTGCAGGAGAATTACGTCTTCATAAAGGTTTCTCAATTTATATTTTTTTATAATTGTCATGTTTAGTGACTCTTTGAGACTATCATTACTTGAATCAATTTTTTACTTGCTTTAATAATAAATGGTTTTGATAAAATTGGTTATTGAGGCTTTGATTCGACAGACAGAAAAGATGAAAGTGTCAGTTCCAGTCTTTTAAGATTGCCTATCAAGAAACATGAACTGCCATGTTTATAAAGTTAGAGTTATTTTTATTTATTATGAGAATTTGTTGGTTGATTTTACAGAATCAAGAAAATTGTTAGCTCATAATTGGGTTGTATTTCAAGAATGATCTGTAAAATTTTCTTCTTCTAATTGTTTTTAGAACCTGTTAATTTGTTATGAAAAACACTTAGTCATTTGAAAATTGTACTCCATTAATCCAACTACAACTAGCGTAAGTTACCTGTAAGAGTACCTACTCTGAATTTGTGTGCCTTATTTTGTAGATATCAGCGAACTGAATCTACCAAAAACATGTAGCATTTTATTTCCCAATGGCAAAGATGACTTGATGAACTTTGAGGTTACCATTCAGCCTGATGAAGGTTATTATCTGTAAGTGATTTTACGCACATGACCTCCTTATTTTGTTTAAATGATAACTACTATTGTAGCCCTCTTTCTTTCAACACTGGCTTCTTTCTTTACAATCTTTTTAATTTTAGGTCTGAAAATTATGCAAGACAAAGGATTGGTGTGTTGTACTGAAGATCAATGGCTGCTAAAGTTTTCTTGTGTTGTCTGTTTAGATTGTAAAATTTTCTTTAGCAACTGGGTGGTTTTTGACCATTACGGCGTTTAACACAGTTAATCAATGAGATTGTGCAATCTAATGCGTCTATCTTTATGTCCATACCATGCATTAAACCCTGGTGATTAAAATTGTTTCCAGGTGCCTTACAAGTTACAACCAGGATTTTCAATTGTTTATGAGTTTAATATTTCTGAAGCTTTCATTAGAAAAATCTGAGCCAAGCACCATGTCAAGTTTTTTTGCTCTTAATATGCGATTCTTTCTTGCATGCAAGCACTTATTGCATTTTTGGTCGCAGAGGTGGCACATTTTTATTCTCCTTCCAAGTTTCCCCCATCTACCCTCATGAAGCACCTAAGGTTAAATGCAAGACAAAGGTACACAAGGATGTCTTGATCATAATGAGGTCACATTTTAATGGTGTTGGTTAGCTAAATGGTCAATCAGTTCTAAACATTTCTTCTTGTTTGCAGGTGTACCACCCTAACATTGATTTGGAAGGAAATGTTTGCCTCAATGTTCTAAGAGAAGATTGGAAACCTGTTCTAAACATAAACACTATAATTTACGGATTGTTTCATCTCTTCGCGGTATTGATTTTTCTTTTGCAACATTTTGCAACTTGGATGGTGTATTTTAATTACAGTTTATGATTGTGCATGCAGCAACCCAACTATGAGGATCCCCTCAATCATGATGCTGCAGCTGTCTTGAGGGACAACCCGAAACTGTTCGAGTCCAATGTGAGAAGAGCAATGGCTGGTGGATATGTAAGCCAAACCTTCTTCGCTCGTTGTATGTGAGCTGCACTTGTATTAAAAGCATCCATTTGCTTGAAGGTTTATCGTTTGTAAGACTTGCGTGCTGTTAGGAGACATATTCTTCCGCACTACGTGAGGCACGCTTAAAAGGTGTTTGTGCTGCTGTAACTATATGATGTGTTTGTGAAATTGGATGGATCATCATAATTTTCGTTTTATGAGTGAAACAAGTTCGGATGTGGAACTTGTGACTTTTTTTTTTTCATGTATTTATCTGTTTCATCTTTGCAAGGAAGAACATGCTTTATCCTGCGGCCTATATTTTTTACTGGACCATTCTTTGCTTAAAGTTCTCATTCAGTTTCCAACGAGTTGTTCTCTAAAAGAATCGGTATACCAGTGGCCAATCTATATATATATATATATATGAGGATTAGGATTAACTTATATCAGCATAAAATTAAAAAGTTTTAAAATTTTTTACTTATTAATTTTAATAGATCCAAAAGATGAAAAAGTCAAGAGAAGAAGAAAAGAAAAATGGATTAATCTCATTTTTGGATTTATTAAAATTAATTATTAAAATTTAACCATTGATTTAAATAAATGTAAGGGAGTAGAGAAATAAGGCCAAAAAATTAAAAAAAATGATTTAATTTTATCTATTGAATCTATTAAAATCAATAATTTAAAAAAGTTTTTAGTTTTATGCTAATGTAAGTTGACACCGAGGTTTTAGTTTTATACTGGTGTAAGTTGATATTGAAAGAATCGAGTAAAAAAATTAAAAAATTGAAATAATCTCAATTATTGAATTTATTAAAATTAATGATTAAAAAAATATAATTTTTTTTATGTAAGTTAATTTATTCCATAAATATATATATATATAATATATATTGCTCATATAAAAATATATACTTTAAAAAATTGAATGAAATATTCTTTCTGGGACACAAGTATTTAAATTTGCACAACATTGCTACATAAATTAAACATTTAAAAAAAAATTTAGCCATTTTTACCACGCCATTGGTTTTTGCATACCCTTATCCAAGTAAAAACATTATTATATAAATTTTATTTTATATATTAACAATCAAATTAATAATTTTATAGCTTTAAAATTTTTTATGCAAGTCTCCTTTATTTAAAAGAGTTGAATTTAAATTTTAATACTTTTAAATATAAAAAAATATATTTTTAATCTAACGATTTTGCATATGCAAAAATTATGACAGATAATTTTCCAAGAAACATAACAATTTATGCTTTTTTTCATATTATTTATTTATTTAATAAAAGAAATTAAAGTAAGTCGTTGGTCAAGAGAAGGATTTGATCAAGACCGTAAGCGCATATGGAAGGGACGTTCTCAACCGTCGATAATTAACAATAGACTCTTTAAATATGAAAGACTAACACTCATCTTAACGTCCATGAAACATACCGTATTAGCACGATTACCAATCTGAAATTTGCCCTTTCGCGCCACCCGCTCAGGTGTTTGTCTTCCTTCTTCCTTCTCCTTCTCCGGCCCTTAACGCTTATGGAAACTTAAAAGCTAGGGTTTTCTTTATTGTTAAGCCTATGATTATTGTACCAATTCTTCTAATCCTGGAGTTTGATTGTCTTCACTCAAAAACTTTTTTTCTTGAAACTTTAATTTTGATTTTTTTCCTGATTTTCATTACGCTGCGTCTTTTTTTTTCAAAAAAAAAAAAAAAACCTTTTTGATTGATTTCTTTAAGTTTCCTTGAGGAAGAAGCAAACGTTTGTTGAAGTTTTGAATGCTCTTGTTTTCTACCAAAAGTTCAATCAAACAACAAAAAAAAAAGATTTTAGTTGAAGGAAGAAATTCATTTTTCCTTAAAGATTGAATTACAAATCTTTTAAACTAAACTGCAAATCTCAAACCTTCTTATAGGGCTCAATGTGAGTATATATCTCTGTTTTGTGATTTTCGATTTTGTTTGGATTATTCTTTTTTATTTTATAATTTATGATCGATCAGAAAAAGATTTTTGAATTATTAATTAGAAGACTACATGTGAATTTCTCTATGCTGAGTTATGATAAAATAAATTTCAGACATTTTGCATGCAGAATTGATCCATCAGCGGAATAATGCAAAGTCTCAAAATCTATACTTTTTGCTGAGATGTGCAATGGTTCAAAATATAAAAATTTACTTACAAATTTTGTTCCTGATTTCCGGATACATCAACACATAAATTATCATGATTTTTTTTGGGGGGGTTTTTTTTGGTCTATCCAATGATGACATAATGGATAGGTAAAGGAGTCTTCTTTTTTATCTGTTTACTTTGACCCTTTTTCTTGTCTTAGTCATTTAATTTTGTAAAATAAATATGAAAGATGAGAATTTTTTTTATTTTTATTGACCCTTTTTGTAATAGTTTTCAAAAATTTAGATAGCTACTGAATTTGATTAAAAAAATTTTGGTTTGGTACTTCAGAGTGCTGAAATGGAGACAGAAGAAAGAGATTTAATTGCTAAGCCAAAGCCCTCAAAACAGATGGGTTCCAGCAGAGAAGTAAAGTCACTAGCTAAGTCTCATAAACACAAGGTTCTCCTTTGTCTGTGCTTTCTACATTTGCTCTGAGCAAATAACAATGCCCTTTAGAGAGAGAAAAAAAAACTTAATGGTTTATTTTCCTGATAACATTTTCTGTATTGCAGGAAAGTTCAGCTGCACCGTTGCCACAGCATTTGTTAAATTCTATGCAGGTTAAAGACATTCTAAACTCATTGCTAATTATTTTTATAAAGCATTGTCTCAACTTTGAATAACTTAAGTGGGCTTTCGGTACTATTGCAATGAACAGATCCACTACACTCAAAATGGGTTTTCTTTGCCAAATTCTCAGCCGTATTGCTGGGTAAGTCAGGCGATTGTCTTAATACTAATGAGGTCCTTCACTGTTTCTTCTGAGAAAGTGTTTGATTTGCTTTTTTTGGATGCTTTTTTGCAGCCTCAGGTAATGCAATCTAACCAAGCTCCACAACCATACCCTGGTTTTTATCATAAGAGGTCGCCACATACATATTCTATTCTTTGCGGGGTAAACCTTCATATTCAGTCTGTTATTCTTTCCCCCTTCTATTTCCTTTTTAACATGAAGATTTTTTTTTTTTTAAATTTAGTTGACTCTGTGTTTGTCCTTTGGAAAGTTTGAATTTGTTTGGCCTTCATGTACAAAGCAGTTTCTATGGTAACTCACCTACTTACTTGCATATTGGATAATGCAATATGTTCAGGATTCCACATTGCCAATTCCTGAAAAAGGAAAAGATGTTCCTAGCGAAAAGAGCCTGGATTTAATGAGACAGTTTAAAGGAAGCTCTGGAATTGTTGGACATTATGGTGATAGGTCAGGCAGAATTGAAATGGATGGTACAAGTTACAGAAATTATAACCATGATCCTTCAAGAAGGTATTATCATCACCATTTCTTTTCTAGTATATATCTATCACTTCTTTTTCCTTCCTTCCCCCTTTAGGTGGGTGGGTTAGGGAGGTGTGGTACCAAACTGTAATTGCAAAATTCTCTTTCAGGATTGCTGCTGGTGGTGATGAGGCCTCATCAGATGAAAGTAATGACACTAATCAAGTATCTGACCTCAACCTGTGTTATATCTTGCTACTTGCTAGTTCTAGTTAGTTGCACAAACAAAAATCCAATTCTCTAAAAAACCTGTGCAACTGGCTGATTATTATCAAACTCTGAAAATAGGTGCTATTAGATAATCCATTTTGCAAATTAAAGTTATTTAATTTTTATGGTTTAATATTGACAATCCATTTGGTTACACATTTTGGAGCCACTTAATAGAATATTTTAATTGAAAATTTGTAATACTTATGAAGTATATAGAATTTATTTAATATATTTTTAAGAAGCTATTTAATGTACTTTATAAAAAAAAAAATTAAAATTTTCTATTGTATGACTGCAATAACCCCACACATTAATTAAAAATTCTTCTATGCCATAATCTTTCAACTCTGATTAGATAGACAATCTCTATAAAATCATATTTATCTTTGCAAAAAGTTCAACAACAATCTATTCAATTTTCAATTTTTAATATCATACCAAAATAGTTTTTATATAGAAGTTTATTTCTTACAAAATTCATCACCCTTTTAGACTTTCAGTTAATCAAACAATACATGAGTCAAGCTTGCGAGACTTGTGAATTGGTGGGTGAACTAATACGGTCAAAGCTTTCTCTTCCTTCAGGATCTTTCTTTGACGAAGAAGCAAAGATTGAACCAGACAAATGCAGATAATTGTAAGTTTTGATTTTTGAAACTCTTGGGGTTTAGCTCTCATCATCCTTCTCCAGCAGTTGCGATGGATGGTCGTACCTTTCAGTTTCTATTGCAAATCTATCTGTTTGTTTGTTGATAATTGTTGCACATCCAGATTCAATGGTGGAAGATTCTGCAGCAGACATGCTTGAGACTACCCCGAACTTGGGAATGATTTATAGTTCTGCTGAAGCTGTATCGACAACTACAAAGATTAGTGTATGCATCAGATACCCTGACTGGTGACTCTTTTAGCTAGCTGCAAGTTTTTGTTTCTTTCTAGTAACTGAAGCAAATTTTATTGAAAATAAATCATTTTTAATATACAGCTTGGAGCATCTGTACCCATTACATGTCTCTTCAGGAACATTCAGAGGATATAATTAATTAATCTCCCCCCAAATTATACCACCAATCAGAGTAGAATTGTCCAGTAGAATGTTCCATCCACTGAAACACAGCTCTGTTTTGAAATTTTGAAAATAGAACAGAGATTATTATTATTATATCTAGAACTGACATGTATGTCAGTATGTATCTGTTAGTATTGCATTTCATTATTTTTTTTTTCTGACTTTAATTTCTTGGCAGGATGATTCTGAACTTAGAAAGCAAAGGAGGAGGCAAATGAATCGGGAGTCAGCTAAAAGGTCAAGATTTCGCAAGCAGGTATCCATGTTTGTACGTATGCACTGCACACACATGAGTTTTAATGATTTCCATTTTAGACTTGCTTTTTCTTCTCGCATTTTACTTTGATGTTTCCTTTGTTTTAAACTTGATCTCCTTGCCTATCAACAGATCTTGCATTGCTTCAGAGGGCAAGCTCAATTTATGTACTATGATACTATTATAGGATTCCTTTTTTCATCAATATATGCCTTTGTTGGTTCTTTGGACAAACGAATAAGTACATTCTGGATTAAGAAATGGGCAGAGGCAACATTGGAGTACCACTACATAATTAGAGTGGATGTATTATAGAGTGTCTCATGCAGGATCTAATCTGGAAATGGTTGAATGATGTAATAAAAATATGAACAAACCGCGTGCTGATGAAAAGGTTTAGCATAGGTAGTAAGTTACAGTCCATTTCATGTGTTAATATTTGTCTCATGGATTTCTTGTTTTCCCAGCAAGAATGTGAAAAACTACAAGCAAGAATAGAGGCGCTGAAAGCTGATAACTCTGCCCTTTGCAAGGAACTTGGGAGTCTTTCAGAGGAATGCGGGAGAATTGACACGGAAAACAAACTCATCAAGGTTCACTACTTTACTGTCTAGACCTTTCTGCTTATTCTCATCTCCCCTTTTCTTTGTTGCCAAGAATGTTTATTGCACCTTTTATCCTTCGATCTAAAGTTTATTGATCTAATACATACAAATTATTGATTTGTGCTTATGGAAATGAAACAGGAGGAGCTAGTCCAGATGTACGGGCCAGGTATAGTCTATGACCTTAAAGATTCGTGGCCTGAACTTTTTGATCATGAATATGAAGTGATGCAGAAATGACTGCAAGCAAAAGAAACTCAAACTTCTGACTGGCTTACTTATAGATGCTTCAAGTTCATTCTCTATTTTGAAGCAAGAAAGCAATCTCTAACTAGATTTTCCAGGGATTTTTTATGGATTTTAAATTTAACTGCTCAAATTACTTCAACATTGTTATAGTAAAGTAGTTATACAGTTATGCTTCCCCGACCAATGAAAGAACATAATTCATTTTTTTTCCCAATATTTGCTATTCAGTTTATCTTAGCCCTTAATCTCCTGCCAAGCAGCTCTAAAGCGTTTGGCAGGGAATAAACGGAAGGTACTGCTTTTTTGTTTGGGGTATGGTAATCATGCCTTTCTGAAGAATATTGTTTAACCATTCACTGGATGAAGCTTTTGCACCCACTGCTGACTTCTGATAAAAAATCCCATATCCGAATTGTGTAAGCGTATCGAGCCCATCCCATTGTAGGTTCATCAAAGACATTATCATATCCATAAGCAGTTATGTTATCATGGCCATCGTGTTAGGAATATGTGGGGTCCAGCCTCATTGTTTTAGCCAATCAAAAGTCTTAGGTCTTTTGACCTTTAACATAAAATAAAGCCCTAAACAATAAAAGAAAGGGTTGTGCTCTAGGCGTAAATTGTTGTGGCGTCGAAAACTGAGAGAAAAAGAAAGAAAAAAAAAGTTGGAAAAGATAAAAAGAAGACGGAGGAAGGAGAGTTAATTAAACGAATGTCGATATATAACTTGATTGATCTAAAATTTTATCAGTAAGTTTATGATTCTAAATTTTATATTTTAAATGATGAAAATCACGTTTAAAGCTCTTTAAAAATAAATTTAATGTGTATTTATTGAATCACTTATTTGGTAAGATTTTTTTAATTATCTCTTTAATTATTGATTAATTTTAGTTTTAGTTAGAGAATAACTTTATATATTCATTATTTGATAATGAAGATTTTTTAGTAGTCTGTAGTTTTTTTTTTTACACTGAAAGATTTTTTACGTAAATCTTTGTGTATTTTATTTTTTTTATGCATTGTTGATTATAGATTGTTATTTATTTTTAGGTTTATTGTAATATACTACTTCTGTGTTGTTATGTTTGTCGCTTCGGGTCCAATAAATGATATCAGAGTGAGCGTTATTTTGAAACATCTATACAAAAGTAACCTATGATATAAGCAAATTCTATTTAAGATTATGGAGAGTTATATAAGTTTCATGATAAAATTGACAATGTTAAATTATTCAATTTGGAAGCTTATGATGGAGGGTCATTTATACTGTAAAGTTTTGTATGAATCAATATTGGGTGACTCAGCTAAGCCAGCAGATACAAAAGATAAAAACTAGAAAAAGCTAGATAGAAAAATGTTGGCCACAATAAAAAAAAATGAATTGATATTAACGTGTTCTATCATGTAGCACAAAAGACAGATGCCCATACTATTTGAGAAAAATTGGTAGCATTATGTGAGAAGAAAATAGGCATGAATAAAGTTATGCTCATTAAAAAGCTTGTAACTTTATAGTATAAGGATAGACAATCAATTACAGAGCACTTAAGTGATTTTTAATATATATTTAAATAGATGACTACTATAGAGCTTAAGATAATGACGAAATGAAGGCATTGTATCTTTTAGGTTCATTGTTAGACAGTTGGAATACTCTAGTTGTGACTGTTCTTAATTCACCTCTTAATTATAAGGTAACATTAGAGATAGTAAATGACAGTATGCTTAATAAAGAAGCAAGGTAAAAATATTTATACCCTAAAAGTCAAGCTATTGTCACAAAGAACAAATGTAGAAACATCGACAAAGGTCAAAACTCAAAAGGTTATAATAAGTCTAAATATAGATCCAATTCTAAAGATAAAGTAAAATGCTTTCATTGTGGTAAACCAGGTCATAAAAAGCGATACTGTAAAATCTTGAAGTAAGAGTAAAAAGATAAAATAGATAAGAGTTTAGATAATGATAATGTTGCAGCAATGAATTTAGATAGTAATTCAATTACTTTGATCTGTACACATTGTAATTGTAATCATGTTAGTGATCCCAACATTGAATGGATAGTTGAAATAGGATCGGCATATCGTTGTGTTCTTAAGAGAGAGTTGTTTACAACCTATAAGCAACAGACTTTGGTAGCACCAAAATGAAAAACAAGAGTGTGTTATAGATTGTTGTGATCGGTGATATTGTTGTACAAACTAATACGGGTTATATGTTGACTTTAAGGGATATATGACACATTTTGAATATGAGAATCAACTTGCTTGCTTTTAATGTCTTTGATAAGGAGGGATATAAGAATCAATAAAAGAATGGGTAGTGAAAGCTTCTTAAAAGATCTATGGTAGTTGCAAGAAAAAAATTATATTACACAATATACAAGACATAGATGTAATTAAACAACAACCAAATAAATACCATTAACGATGATGTTTCAGCAAATATGTAGCACAAAAGGTTGGCCTATATGAGCGAAAAGAGATTACAAGTTTTGGTAAGGCAATCTCTCATTTTTCTGATCAAAAAAGTTTGATTCTTTTATGGTGAACCATAGTTATAAAAGAATAGTAGTGGATCTTTATGTTTATGTCAGAAAATTTTTAATGGTAACTTTATTATTCTTTTATCATATGTTGATGATATGTTGATTGTGAGACAAGATGTTGGTATGGTTCATAGGTTAAAAGAACAATTATCTAAGTCTTTTGATATGAAGAATTTAGGTCCAGCAAATTAGATTCTCGATATGAATATTATTCGGGATAGGAGAATAAAAAACCTATGGTTATCATAAAAAAATATGTTGAATAAGTGCGTAGTAGATTTAACATGCAGCATGCTAAATCAGTTAGCAGTCCATTCATCAACTATTTTCATCTAAGTAAAAAATCTTATTATATAACTAAGGAAGTATAACTAGCTATATCTAGTATTTCTTATTCTTCTACAATCGATTCGTTGATATATCTTATGATTTACATATAGCCTAACATTGTTTATGTAGTTAGTGTAATGAACAGATTTCTTTTTAATCCAAAAAGGTTCACTTGGAAGCAGTGAAATGGATTTTTAAATATTTCAAGAGCACCTAAAAAATGTGCTTGGGTTATAGAATTTCACAATCAGTTCTATAAGAGTTTACTAATGTTGACATGATAAGTAATCTTGATAGTAGAAAATCTATTTCAGGATATTTGTTCACTTTTGTATGAGAAGTTATGTCTTGACAGTCTAAGTTATAGAAGTATGCTGCCTTATCAACTACAGAGGTGAAGTATATTGCAACAATGAAGCAAGTGAAAAAATGCTTTGGATGAAATATTTTCTTTTTAATTTGGGTTAAATTAGAAAGACTATATAGTGTTTTGTAATAGTCAGAGTGCTTTAGATTTAAGTAAGAATGTCATATACCATGCTAAAACAAAGTACATTGATGTTAGATATCACTAGCTATGTTCGGTGATTGAGGAATAGTAAACACAATTGAAAAAAAGTTCATACTGATGAGAATGCAATAGATATGTTGACTAAAATACTTTTTAAGAAAAAACTTGAGCTCTACAGTAACTTAGCTGAAATAGGTTCTTTGGCCAAGGTAAATTCGAAATAAAACTGCTATGGTGATGAATCTCTTCCAAATGAGATTAGAGGGAGAGATTGTATGTAAGGTCGAGCCCTACTGTTTTAGATAATCAAAGGCTATGGGCCTTTTGACTTTTAACCTAAAATAAAACCTTAAACAATAAAATAAAGGGCTATGTTTTAGGCTTCAATTGGTGTGACACTGAAAATTGAGAGAAAAAGAAAGAAAAGAAAAGTCGAAAAAGATATAAAGGAAAAGGAAAAGAAAGAGTTCGTTGAACAAAAATTGATCCATGGTCCGACTGAACTAAAATTTTATCAACAGGTTTATGATTCAAAGTTTTACATTCTGAATGGTGATGATCGAGTTTAAAACTCTCTAGAAACAAATCCTAGGTGTATTTGTTGAGTCACCTATTTGGTGAGATTTTTCTAATTATTTCTCTAGTTATTGATTAGTTCTAGTTTTAGTTTTAGTTTGAGGAAAACTTTGTATATCCTTATATTTAAGAATCATCGCATCTAAGCTCTGTCTAGATGTTGAGGAGTTAAGATGGTTTTATTATATTTACATACATTTATTTGTTATTGTTTGCACTTATTTGTATTTATTTATCTTTAATTTTTACTTGCTATTTGATAATACCATTATTTACTTTTTCGCACAAAAGGTTTTTAATTTACTTACTTTTAAATTTGTGATATTTTAAAATAAAACAAAAATAACATTCTAAAGAAAATAATTCTCGATATTCTGCATAGAGGTTGAAGAGTTACCGACAATCATTTTTTACAAGGAGTGTTATTTTTATTTTAAGAAATATTGTATTAAATCTTAAGTGAAAAAGTTATTTTAAATTCTGCCTAGATGTTGAAGAATTTTAAGATAATTCTTTAACTTAAAGATTTTTTCAATATTTTTAAATAAAAAATTTTAGCAATTTTTTTCTAAAAAAGAGATTATTATTAAATTTCAAATCAAAACCATTTCATCCAATACCGAAAATAATGCATAATTAATTGATACCAATTTATGAGTGTTGTGGAGGTGCTAATTCTTCTCCATACGTAATCGACTCCCGAACTTAAAATATGTTTTCGTAGATCGAAAATTTATTATTTAATAAACTTTAAACTTGTTTTTATAGTTTATTTAAAAGATAAACTTTTTGATAGTCAATTACATTTTAAAAAAGATTGGTGGTAACTTTTCTGTTTTTCTCGATTTTAAAATTCTTTACGTCTGACAATTTCAAAATCGTTATGACAACTTTGTATATTCATTATTTGACAGTAGAAATTTTTTTAATATTTCGTAATTTTTTTTTTAAACTGAAAAAATTTTCACATAAATCTTAATATATTTTTTTTATATTATTAATTATTAATTATTATCTATTACTATTTCTTTATTATTATATATTATTTTTATGTTATTGTATTTGTGCTCTAAGCTCAACACATCGATCAGGAATCCACATCCGAATCGCCGTAAAAATTATCAACATCTGAAAGGAGAACACTGTATCCCACCTGCAAAAACTCTCTCAAGATACGAAATTTCAATCCTGAAACAGCATGGTTTGTCCCTGTCCTCCCAATGGATTCAATTCCCTCATGGTCGTCTCTTTTAATGCTTGTGAACCAAACCTCTAATGAGTCCTTCACATTCCAATTTGCAAGTGCCCCTATAAGCTCTCTTTCAACCGCAACATTTTCCAGAAAATTTTCCAATCTGGGGTTCACGGATCCATCAAATGTTCCAGCTCCCTTTCCAGAATTTTTAGCACTATAATATGCTCCACTCGTTTTGATTTGACAAAACACCGTAAGACGTCAAAAGAAGCCCAACTAAAGTGGCTTATCAGATCATCAATTTTCCTTTACAAAACACACGCTCCATCGATCATACCAAGTATTTACTACAATAGCATGATTAAGATGACAATAGGCATCATAAATTAAGAACTAAAGATTTTCAATGGGAAAGGGCTGGCCTTACTTTAGGTAGCTTTGCAGATGTCCAATGCTCCAAAACCACCAAATTGTCTAATAATAATA